ATGTGCTTAGCAAAGTGCTCCAGGATTCAAATTATAACAATGGTTTATTTCTAAAGGTCTCCTTTTTCTAATATATGCACTCCATCAATATTTCACGCACCACAGTTCAGCATATGTGCAATTGAAATGGCATTCAAATTTTAACAATATGCTTGATTTCTAAAGGTCTCCTTTTTTTTGATACACCCTGTACAGGGTGTCTCAAAAAAACCCAAAATCATTGAAATAACGTATTGTTCGAATTTCAATGCCGTAACACAAAGGATTTTGACAGGGTGATTAATTTGTTTTAAAAAATTAAAATATCTTTGTAAAGTGAACGTTTGTTTGCTCATGTGAATTTAAAAATGCTTCGTAAATTGTAATATGCGTAATATGCATTCGTGGGTTTAGTACTTTATGCCTGACATAACAAGTTTACGCTGAGTATTACCATTCATTATAGCAGTTATGTCAATCTTTTATGCACTCGTGGGATCAACTTAGTGCTAGGGCATTGAATATCGAACAATACGTCAATTTCAATGATTTTGGGTTTTTTTGAGACACCCTGTATGTTGTTCAGGTTTATGCAAAAATGTGGTCTTTCATCGTCACGTGCATATTGTATTTTTCCCAAGTCAACCAATAGGAATGTTCAAAATGTCCTATTGTTGTTAAAGTCATGGATGGGCAATTGGACAAAACCGTCGCTATTGGCTGGTTGAGCAAAAATACAATACGCACGTGACGACGAAAGACCACATTTTTGCATAAACCTGACCAAAAACATAGATAGTGAGGTTTATTGTAATGCTAATAAGTTTCCAAACCATCTCCTCTATTAATTAACTCCTCTATTAACCATCTCCTCTATTAACTAATTTACACTGAATTCATTTTCATTTATTACAACTGCTGCTTTTATGATATAATATGATGTTTTACTTTTAGTAGATATACGTAATACGTTAAGATTATATAAAAAAGAAATTAAACTCAACCTGATAATTCATTCATTCAACTGTTATCATATGGGCGCAGTCATTCCTTATACATAATCAAAATTAATTTAAAAAAGCGAGAGGACAATTGTCTCTGACCAACTTTGTGTTATATTCAGTACGACCATGCAGAGTGTATTTACTTTGCGGTAATGCCTTCATGCTCTGCGGTAACCCATGGTGCCCATACCCCATGATGCAGTTCGGGATTAGCAGCGAGATCAGGGAGGGGATATCTTACAGGGACCGCAGTTTTATTGTATTCTTCAAGTCTGGACAGTAATTCCTGCACTTTCTCTGGATATTGAGACGACAATTCATGCCGCTCTTCTGGATCGTTAGCAATGTTAAACAATTTATTTTTTTTGTTTCATTGGTATAATGATTTTCTTTACTCAAGTTGAAACTGGAATTTGGCGGTGGAATCCATTGTGAATGTCTGCTTTGGAAACCTGTAAGTAGTTTCCAGTCCCCAACACGTAAGGCAGCCTGTGCAGACCAATTGTAAAACCATGATACCCTTCCTGGATCTATGTTGTGCAGTATTTCAGTTCTAGGAGATGGTTTACCTGTGTTTATTGTTTCCCAAATATTAAAACCATCTAAAGGCTTTGTACCATTCAAATCACCACCAGCTAACTTTACCAGAGTCGGAAACCAATCAGAAACATGGATCATTTCATGGGAAACTCTTCCTGGATTTTTTAACAAAGGACTGTTCACAAATCCTACACCACGCACACCACTTTCCCACAATGATCCTTTCCAACCCCTCAGTGGCCAGTTATAATTACCTCCGTTTTGCACTTGACCACCATTATCAGTGCTAAATATCAACACAGTGTTATTCCAAAGTCCTTTTTCTTTGAGTGTCTTAGTTATATTTCCTATGGCTTCGTCCATAGCTGACACCATGCCAGCATAAGTACGTCTATTCTTATATTTTATTGTTCGGGCACTAGCAAGGGAGAATGTACCGCTTGAAAAGCTAAATATAAAAACAATGGAGAACTTGCATCATGATCCATAATAATCTTCTGAGCTTCTTTTGCAAACATGAATGTTGAATACTCTCCTTTTTCTTTTGTGCTCACAAATTCATTTCTGCGTAAATCATAACCACGCCATAACCGATATGGATTGACCTCCGAGAAACCATTTCTTTTCACATGCGTATAATAATTTTCACCTCCGTTGAGATACCCAAAAAATGAGTGAAATCCTCTGTAAGTTGGCGTACATTCCTTTCTATAATATCCAATGTGCCATTTTCCAACTATGTGCGTTTTGTACCCACTTTGGCTTAATTTCTCTGCGATTATGGTTTCGTCTAGTGGCACGCAGAGTGGTTGCGCCGGCTGTATGTTGCCATGTTGTAAACTGGTATGAATTTGATATCTACCAGTAAGCATTGTTGATCTTGTCGGAGTACATATAGGTTGAACATAATATTTCTCTAGAATAACACCTTCATTTGCTAGTTTGTCCAAGACAGGCGTTTTTATCTCAGAACCATGGTAGCCAACGTCGTTGAAGCCATAATCGTCGGCAAATATAAACAAAATATTTGGTTGTTGATTGCTTTCTGCCCCTTCTAAATTTAAGCTTACGTTAAAGAGCAGGAATAGAAGCAATGATTTCATTTTCTCTCAATGAATAGCCAGTATATAGGGCAAATTTTCGGTTTGTTTACAATGACAATCACTCAATCACGCGAACAAGCGCACAGCAGTACAGGATTATCGCGTGACTGAATTCTAAAAATAAAAACACTTATGCTGCCGAGCCTCATTGACGTTACATGACGTTCTTGCTTTTTCGTCTCCAGTCCCCCCGGCCGAGTTATGTATAGTCGAAAGGCAATTGCTAGATAGTATACTTCAAAATAAGGTTACCATCTCTATATAAAAACGGAAACCTTATTTTGAAGTATACTATCTAGCGATCACCATAGTCGAAATCTCGATTTGCATTCGGTGGAGATGTTGGTTTCCGGGGCTCATTAAGTATTCAATTTCGTTTGTAAAATGAGGGGGTTGTTCAACAAAATTTTCTTCAATACTGCGAGCAGGCGCCTACTCAAAGATATATAAAGTGATAATATCTGTAAGTTTAGTTTATATATTCAATGTCTATTTATCGATGTGATGAAGCGGTTTAATAAAGTTGCGAATATCGAGGGAAACAGGGTTCATATCTCTGCTATGAAGACTATTATGTCTATGACTCTATGGCTACCTACTTTATAGCTACCTGCTACAAATCTCTGGCTACTATGTATATGAAAGAGTTTAAGAATTTATAAATTATTGTTTGTTCAAAGTCGAGTATTGTCATTATAATTTTAGTGAAATGTCCACAATATATCTTACACTCTAGTCTTACAGTATTAAAATTCGCGCAGTACTATAATTTGCGCAGCGCTGCGAAATATAATCCCCGCGCAAAACTTTGTGGTAGTAAAGATAAAGCGTGCATTCAAAATACCAACAAGAACTAAAACATTTGTTGTATGGTTCTCGACATTTGCCTAATACAATAATAGTACGACGCGAATTTTAACAAGTAAGGTATGGTATCATTGCTGCCGCAAGCAGACTAAAATCGTACAGCTACTCAAAATCTCAATCTTGCTAGAGCAGCAAAGCATGTTGGTTGAAAGTCATTTTACCAACATGCAACGCGCGGCTATATGAACGAACTCCATTCGAGCACGTGTTCTTTTTTTCTCGAGAGTTGAGAGTGGACAAACAAAGGGAACCAGACACAGTACTAAAATGCGGTGCCCTGCAAAAAAAATTTCTGGCGTTTCGCCTACAAGTGCACTTATATAAAATATACGCTAGATGGGGCCCCTAGATTCCTCCTGTTGGCTAATACATGAAGTTTCTAGTGAGGGAAAAGTGAGCGCGCGAGGACCCACCATCGAATTTTTATCGAATTTCTAAAGTTTTTTCATGTGACGTCTAATGTTACGCTTACATTTGTTTTGGACTTTGGCCACTGTCAGTTCTATATTTTTTATAAAGTTTTGGTTTCTTAGTGTGATAAATCTGTGTATATAGACAATATAGTCTATATAATATTGGTAAATGCGCCTAGCAGTAAACAGACTTACAGACTTGATATGAAATCTGATCTGAATTTACCTGTATGTCAATGAGACGCACATGTTTAATATCTGTCACCTCTGATTGCCCTTTAACCCCTGGTCTTTGCTACTTCAATCTTTGCTCAATAATAATGGAAACTTTATTGAATTTTTTACGTATATATATACAATTGTAAATCTCACTACTGACTTAGGTAATTTACAATTGGCTACATGAATCACAGAGTACTACATATGTACTATTTGCAGTAAAAACAAGAATAAAATGGGTATATGATTATATATATATTGTTATATGTAGTTATTAATTTAAATGTTTAACAATTCAGGGTTTGTCCACTCTTTGTTTCGACAGCAAAAAATATAGTACGTCGCTCTAATGGCATAAGACGTCATCTTTTTTATGCAGTAATGTTGCTGCTTTTTATCCATTCCTATAGTGTCTAACATTTCTAAAAAGGTGAAGCATTCTTTGTCAAAAACACCGAGAGAGCTCATTGATAGGTTTACAAATTTAACAGAATTAAAGTGACCCCTTTGATCTTCAATTAGATCTTTGTATTTTGCTTTTTTGCGTTTAACGTTATTATGTAGATTAGATTCAAACCCGACAGTAAGTTCAAGGACATAAAGATCTTC